GAGAGTGAGTGAGGTAAGCGAAGAGTGCAGAACAGCGTGCACTTCGAAGGAGGAGTGAGAAAGGTTGAGACGCTAACGCGATCCTAACCAGATGGTCCGGTGGAGTCAAATTCGTAAGTGATTAAGAGAGGCCGCCAGACTACGCGCGAAGTTCGCTTCAGACTGCGACGTGGGCGAGACGAGTTGCCGAACGCGTCGATGAGCGGTGAGGTCCGTCGCTGTTTGCGTGGAACGGGACTCGGTTTTTGTTACGTTATAGGTTTGTCATGACGTCTACTTCTTATAGGTAGATATACCGGCAGCCATAGCTGCATAGGGAACTGAGTGCGTGGTGACGGCGAGCTTTCAGAGTTTTTTTGGAGCGTGCAATCCGCACCATCAGATATCCGGTCTTAGCAGCCTATTCATGTGAGCTCGTTCTGGGCATGCGCTCTCAACAGCGCTTTCAAAGATGGCGTCCAGCCCATATCTCCTTTCCAGATAGGGCAAGTGAACGGGCATTTAATTTTGTAGAACTTTTTTAATCTCCTGGTAAGCAACTAGTATCCACTTATATACAGACAGACTAAGTTAATATTACAAAGTATTTTTCTAAAAAATATACTATGCATCGCCAAACGCTGATTCTTCACCCAAGTGAAGCTCCGGAGGTCCGGACCAGATTTCCAAGTTTCAGCACTAACCACTATTCAAAAGTTGTAAGTGGGTTTTGTAAATTTTTATTAGAAAAATGGCGGCCGACCAAGCTTTCGAATGCACGGAAGCCCTATAGTGTCAGTTACTGAAAACGGGCGAAAATGGGCGCCATTTTTCCATTCAAAGTTTTAAAAAAAATTTTGTAGGAGATAAAGGTTAGTGTTCAAAACTTTGGCATCTGGTTAGGACCTCCAGCGCAATATTTGGGTTGAGAATGAGCTTTCTGCGGTGCGTAGTTTATTTTTGCGGTGAAAAAAAGGTTTGTACTTCTTTTTCCTTGGGGTTTTGAGGGGGGGGGGGGGGGGAGGAGGGGGGGAGGGGGACCAGCCTGTACTTATAAATATAAACGTACAAATACCAAACTTCATTTCACAATATTATTTCTCAATTAAATTTCTTGGTTTATATAATTTTCTCACTTCGAGTACGACGCTTCATACCATTGGTGTCTTCACGTACGAACTTGAGAACGTGTATAAATAAAATCACTGGCGACGCTGAGGTTTTTCTATTTTCTTTATTTGAAAACAAGTGCGGCATTATTTTATTACTACTGATAGTGAGGACGATCACATCGTCGTTTTTCTCTGTCATCCCAGGGAGAAAGCAAGTCGTGCGCATAGTGACCTGCGCAAAGGAGGTCTTAGATTATTTAGTTGTCAGATAAAAAAAGACGCGTGTTACGTTTGAGATATGCACGTTTCAATAAAGTAACAAATGGGTTATCTTAAATTCGAAGTATTTTTTTATTCACCACGTAAAACTATACATTAGTCCCGGTCCACGAGAAACCGAACTATTTTTAATGCCTTTTACCCGGTGAAAACGACTGTGCAATATTTCCCTAAAAAGAACACGAACACAGCAATAAAAATAACTGTAGGTATTGTGCCTCAAGTGTGCGGGTTTTTTTCTTTGTTTTTCGAAAATCTGGAATAAAGAGAGTGAGAAAGGATGATTGTAAGGCAGAGAGGCCAGCCTGGGAGCTCATGGCTCTAACGGAGTCCTTACTCCCAACTCGGGGAAAGGCGGGTGAGAGGAAAATATTGGCAAGATGAAATGAGACAAGGAAGCCTATTTATTAGGGCTGGGGCATTTGATCGATTAACCTACCAATTAATCGATTAATGCCTTAATCGCGATTAATTTTTTTAACCGGTTAATCGGTAATATTTTAGCGAACCAAAATAAAGCAAAAAGTAAACGCTTTCACCACGCAGACGTGGACGAGAACACCTCTATGAAGGGCAAACTTTAGGTCAAAATTTAGCCTAAAGTAAACTGTAGGTGGAAGATTTGTAACTCCTGACAAGGTGTAGAAGGTTACACGTCTCCCGGCCACTTCAACAGCGTTTGAGTGTCCGTTTAGCGCAGCAGAGAGAGACTATAGTGTGAACAATCAAAGGAGGCAGCTCTTGCCGGATAATATCACCGAACCTTTTACCTCATGCAGCTGAAGTAATAATGTGTGACTGCCTCAGAACTGGTCTTAACTACACATCAAGGTTGATTCGTAATAAAACTTGCGTATTAGGCCCTTTACCTCATGTTCAGCAAAGGCAGAAACATATTTTGACGTCTTAAAAATATTATGCATGAAAAATAACGAGACCGATTGATCGATTAATTAATCGATTAAAAGGTGGCGATTAATCGGGGTAAAACGTTTAATTGACGCCCAGCCCTACTATTTATGGACGACAATTACGTTATCAGAGTACATTATTTCACAACTTAGAAAATCAGTGCCAGTCGTGTGCCTCGAAAAAAGGTAATCAACGTTTTAAGAATGGTCGAGCCTTGAGAGCTTGGGGGGAGACGATATTTGTGGTTCCCCTGAACGTTATTTGTGTTTTGTTTTTTTCTTTTTTGTGTTGGGCGAGGTTTTCTTTTTTTTTTTCTTGTTTTTTTTTTGTAAACTTTTCACCAACCATAAATCTGTCGTAAACGGTTTTTTTTTTTTCGTTTTTTTTTTTTTTTGGGGGGGGGGGGGGGGGAGGGGGGGGCGGGGAGGTGGGGAGGTGGCGAGGATATACTGCACAGCGGACGCTACGGTATTCGTCGGAGCTGTCAGCCGTTGCAGCCCTGATGGATTGGAATGTTGACTTATGTGGTCTGTTTGTGTCACGTGCCTTCGCGAAGGCTTTAAACAATTGGCAAATTCATGCCCGAAGGCAAGGAAATTGGTTCCCTCAAAACCCCGTGCCTTAGCCAGATAACGATTTTTGGCTGGGATCTTGACCTTATGTAACGGGTAACATCAGATATTGTGTATATTCTTTGTAGCAAACTTTTTGTGTATTTTATTGCAAAAATACAGTTTTGCACTGTTGTACGTAGCACAAAGCCTTCGTTGCACTCCTCGGACTCGGCACCGATGAATTTACGTTGCGGCGAGCCCCTCCAGGTCCGATCGCGGGTTTCGGCAAAGGTGCCGGCCGGGACCCACAGCACGCCAGTTCCTACGGGTCTCGTCGGTGCTGTCAGCCGGAGTCTGTTGAGGGCTTGACAAACGTCACTAACCAATATTGGTCTTTAAATGCCATGTGCCTTTCTAAAGGTTTGACACAATTGGTTGGCTTCTGCCCGAAGGCAAGAAGTTCGATGCCCTCAAAAGCTCGTGTCCGGGCGAGAGAAAGCGATTTTTGACTGGGATCTTGACCACGTAATGGGTCAACCAGGAATTTTCCACTTTGTACAGAGAGATCAGACGGGTACATTTTTTGTCAGAGAAGTATTTGTGTGAATATAATATAAATAGACAGTTTGCACTGTAGGATCAGGAACCTCACTCGAACTCCTACGACTCAGCATCGAAGAAGACCCCATCAATAGTCTCGCGCAACACCGCGAGTTCAAATATCATTGAAAGAACCATGTTTACAAATGCCGCTCCAAGACATAATATGTGACTTACGGTTTCTATTCGACGAGATAAATTTGACTGCAAATGAAATATATCACAGATGCAGGGAGTCCAGGCGGGCGTAGAAGATATTAGAACACGTCCCCATATTCGATGTCAATTCCTTGGCTGCATGACAAAGTTCCAGTGCGCCATCTGTTGGGAAATATGGGATTGCAATGATCATAGTGTCCAATGCTTAGGTAAGTTGCTGATAACATACGCTAAAAGCCCCAGCTATTTATTCTCTCGGAAAGGCTTGTTACGCTAGGTGTATTTATAGACTTCGTAAAGCTTTCGATGTTCTAAATGACCACATTCTTCTTGCAAAACTAGGCAGTTATGGCGTCCGCGGAGTACCTACAGTGTAGGAAACTGTGCGTAGTAATTGACGGTCATTACTCTTCCTTTCATAATGTTATTGTTGGTGTGCCACAAGGAAGCATACTTGGGCCTCTTCTATTTAATGTATACATAAATGATATTGTTAACATCGATCACCAAGTTCAGTTTGTCATTTATGCTGATGATACAAGCATCTTTATTTCTGCTACTGATGCTGATGTACTGATATGTAAAGGGAACAATATCCTAAATAAATTTCACATGTGGTCCAAAGTTAATGGCCTTAAAGTAAACACACAAAAAAATACAAAGTCTTTTTAAATAGATCTATGAATAAACCAGTTCTGGTTATATATAAAATCAAACTTTGTGATTCACAAATCGAGTTAGTTAGCCAACAAAAAATTTAGGAGCAATTTTTTCCGAATATATGATGTGAGATTGCCATGCTAACTAACTAATTGCTAAACTTTCCCGAGTTGTTCGCATTATTGCCCGTTGTTGTAATGCTTTACCAATCAGTATTAAGTTAAAACTTTACTACGCACTATTTGAGTCCAATTTAAATTACTGTCATTTTGTATGGGCTACGACAACTAAGACAAACCTGCAAAATCTACTATTATTCCAAAAAGAAGTTTTACGTTATATCGCGGGTGTCTCATATACAGACCATACAGAACCAATATTTTCTAGATATCAAATACTTCCCGTAGAATGCGTATGCACTTATCGTTCACTCTGTACCCTTTGTTTCTTCTCTCCAACATTCATCGATTTTTTTTTAATATTTTATTTCTGAACTTGAGAAACATGAAAGCAATATAAACACACGCCGCGTAGACACTTGCCTCCTTCCTCGGTGCCTAACAAATTACAACCTCCAGTCATTGCACTACAAAGCACCGTACGTGTTAAATAAATGTTTCACGAACAACATAAACATCTGGACAATTGGCAGAAAGACCTACGTACCTACTGTTTTAACTATCGATAACTAATTTTTTTTTCTGCTACTGTGACTTTGTTTTATTTTTCTTATCTTCCTGATAAGAAATATCTTCCTGACACGCCACTTCGTCTCCCACCGGACACGCCCACCATCCTGCCAAAAACGTTCGAGAGGCCAGCCTCATCATCAGCGACATCAGCGGCGCCACACGATAAGAGGGACCGGCCGATCGCCTATGCTTTCACTGGGCGTGGGAACAGCCATACGATGCGGACGGCTAACGTTTTTCGCTTCTTCTGTACGCAGGTTAGTAATATCGATTCTTTGTACACTAAAAAATCAAGCGATGTTTTTCTTTTGGTGTTCCCATGCCCACGGGAGTTGTTCTCGATCGTCGGTCAGAGTATAGATGTTGTAAAATTGCTGATGCTATGCGGCGACGTTGAGGTAAACCCCGGTCCTGAAACGCGTAACAAACAGCTTGACGACATGTGCAAACTGCTTCAAGATGGTCAGTCTAATCTACTAATGGTTGTAAATGAAATCAAAACAAATCAACAGCAGTTGGAAGACAAAATCACTGACATCTCTAACCGGCTCCAGAATGTGGAAACTAAGACTAATGTTCTTGATAGACTGGATTGTGAAGTACGCACTACACATCAGGTTCTAGAAGAAGTTAAAAAGGAAAATGCATTCTTGCGTGCTAGACTTGACGACCTCGAAGATCGGTCTCGGCGAGACAATCTAATCTTTCATGGTATAGATGACTCGCCCTCGGAGACATGGGCCCAATCTGAGCAAAAAGTACACTCGCTGCTTTCTAACGTCCCTGAGCTGAGCATTTCTGAAGAGGGAATTACTCGTGCGCACCGGCTTGGTACGTTTTCTCGAAACAAGTGTCGACCAGTAATGGTAAAACTTGTGTCAACCAAAACTAAAGAGAGCATCCTTTCAGCAAAAGCTAAACTAAAAACATGGAACGTCTCAGTCAATGAAGACTTCGCACCAGCCACACGTTATGCGCGCAAGAAGTTGTTTGACTTCGCAAAATCTCAGAGTCCCAATAGTATATTTAAGATAAGGTACAACAGACTTCACCTAAACAAGAAGTGTTACGCCTACTGCAGTACGAGTGACGAAGTTTATGAAATTTCTAGTGCTACCAGTGCTACTGATAGAGGTGCCGAGTCACTCCAACCGCAACACGTGCAATCAGCAACGTCATAACAAACGTGCACTCTTCCAGTCAAAGATTCGACGGTGGAAAATGTTTCTGTTTTCTTTACAAATATCCGAAGCGTAATAAAGAAACGCGATGAATTGTGCTCCGCTCTTGATTCTGCTTCTGCCGACATCATTGTGTTGACCGAGACATGGCTCTCTAGCAAAATACGTAACGATGAACTTTTTGTGATAAGCAGTACAAAGTTTATCGGCATGATAGGGATTCGCGGACGGGCGGCGGCGTGCTGGTTGCAGTTGCTGATTACATTGAGTCATCCCATATTAACTTAGCATCTAGCTTAGAAATTGTGTGTGTACGTTTCCAACTAAGTCACAGAAACATTGTTGTCTGTGCATGTTACCGCCCACCTACCTTTGCTAAGAATTTTGTGGAGTTATTACATGACACACTTAGCGGAATTGTTTCAAGGTTTCCTAACTCGCAGCTATTTATTTTTGGCGATTTTAACTACCCAAATATTAACTGGTCACAAGATATTCCTATTTGCGTGCCTTATTCTTCTGAAAGCAACGATTTCCTAAATCTCTGTGCAGATTTTAATCTTTCGCAATTAGTAACCGAGCCCACGAGAATTACGTCCTCAGCATCCAACGTTCTTGATCTAATTTTAACTACGTCTAAGGACCTCGTAGAGCCGATCTCTTATCTTCCAGGTCTTAGCGACCATTTAGCCTTGCATTTTTTCCTGAAAAGTCCTAAGAACAATCCTGCTGATTGTGTCAAACACATCCGTGATTACGCCAGAGCCGACTTTGAATCCATAAACCGCGAGCTATGTACATTCATGGGCTCTTATATGCAGAATTTTTCAGAACGATCGGTTGAAGGCAATTGGTGTCTGTTCAAAGATAAAATTACTTCATTGATCACCAACTACATTCCCTGTCGTGTTGTCAAATCAAACTCGAAATCGCCTTGGTATAATACGACTTTAAAAAGGCTGTCTAATAAGAAAAAGCGCTTGTTTCGAGCAGCTAAATCATCAATGTCTCCCGATCGCTGGGCCGCGTACCATTCGGCAGCTGAAGTATACAAATTGGCCGTCGATGAAACTAAATATAACTTCTTCAGCATAAAATTACCCTCAATGCTCACTAACAATCCAAAACAGTTTTGGAACTTAGTCAACCCTGCCGACAAACATTTAATACAACTTAAAAATTCAGGCGGAGAGGTGATTTCTGGTGAAGATTGCGCTATGACTTTCAACGAAAGTTTCATCAGTGTCTTTAGTGATTTCTTAGGTGCCAACCATCCCGTACTGCCATCTTCTGATTTTTTGCCCATGTTACCAATTGTGTTTGATCCAACCGGTATTGTTAAAATTATTGAAAACCTCAAGCTGTCGTCGGCATCAGGTGTCGACGAGATAAACGCGAAATTTCTAAAAAATACCAAAATGTACTCCTCAATCATCTTGTCATCTTTGTTTCAACAATCACTTGATCATGGCGTCTTACCCGAGGACTGGAAGGTAGGGAAGGTTGTTCCAATTCACAAAGCTGTTACCGTTTCTCCCCTTTCAATTACAGGCCAATATCTCTTACTAGCGTACCCTGCAAAATCATGGAGCACATAATTTCTTCACAGCTCTCGCGTTTCCTGGAGTGCAACTCCTTCTTTAGCCCTTTTCAACATGGATTCCGCAAATCTTTCTCGTGCGATACTCAGCTTTTAGTTTTCACCCACAACCTCCACTCTGCTCTGGACCGTGGATCTCAGACTGACTGCATCTTTCTGGACTTTGCAAAGGCTTTCGACAAGGTAACACATAAACTACTACTATAGGCAACCTGCAATGCTGTTTGGTTTGGCGCCATCTAGCGACTGAAACAAGAAATATTGGGTACCCCTGGGAGTGGCGGCTGCACTGTTCAAACGTGAGCTTTTACTCTGGTGGCGCCGCTTAGCCTAGTGTCTGAAGCAAGAAATACTGGGTATCCCAGGAAGCGGTGATCGCGTAACGTGCCAGTAGAGCGGAAGCTACGGCCCTGGCGGGCCAATCGGAACGTGACTGCCTATCACCGGAGCGCGCCTCAACTCCGGAGAAGTATCAGGCTTTTCGCTGCGTCATGCTCCAATATCTGTGCGTCGCGCTCGTATACGTCGCGCATTTCGAAGCCTTCGGCACGCAATGTGGGGCTTATCGTTCACCGTTTGCCAAGTTACAACGAGACAGTGTATAACCGTGCGCTCTCACGCTGCTGGCGCCGCCTGGCCGTTGCCGGTTGGCTATACAAGCTTAGCCTACTCAGTATTGATCCATGTATCTTATCTTGGTTAGAGTGTTTCCTCACTAACAGATCGCAATTTGTAACTGTCAATAACAAAAACTCGTCATCGTCCCTCGTTAAGTCCGGTGTACCACAGGGTTCTGTCCTAGGCCCCCTCTTATTCTTAGTATATATAAATGACCTACCTACTAGCATTTCCTCCTCCATAAGCGTATTTGCGGATGATTGCGTTGTTTACCGTGAAATTACTAATGACTCTGACGTACACATAATTCAATCTGATTTAAATGCAATTTCTCCCTGGTGTGATGCTTGGCACATGAAACTAAACACTATGAAGTGTAAGACAATGAGGATTTCTCGCAAAGCAGCACTCTGTCCTAACTACTTCCTATCAAATAACATCCTTGAAAACGTATCAACTTACAAATATCTAGATGTTCATATCTCTTCTGACCTATCATGGAAAACTCACACCGAATATATCGTTAATAACAGTAACCGCATGCTTGGATATTTAAGACGTAACTTTTCTCTAGCTCCATCATCATTAAAATTACTACTTTATAAAACACTGGTGCGACCAAAACTTGAATATGCATGCTCGGTCTGGGATCCCGGTACAGAAAGCCTCATATCAGCGCTTGAAGCCATCCAAAACCGGTCAGCACGTTTTATATTATCAAACTACCATCGTACATCAAGCGTCACATCCATGAAAGCTAGTCTCTCACTGCCCCCTCTTTCCACTCGTCGCACTATCTCCCGTCTCTGTTTATTCCATAAAATTTACTATGCCAATTCACTCTTGAAAGAACAACTAATCAGTGCTCCCATCTACGTATCCTCTCGCCTCGATCACTGCTGCAAAGTTGGTATACCCACTTCCATTTCAAATTCTTTTTTCAGATCTTTCATCCCAAAAACATCTCGTGATTGGAACGGCCTTCCCTCACCCATTGCGTCCATTGGCGATTTTGTCCTCTTTAAAGAAGCTTTAACAAGTTACTATTCACGATCTGTGCCGGACTAACCATTTTCAGCGTTTTTTGTACTTCCGTTGCCCACCCCCTCTGTAATGCTTCGGCCCTGAGGGTATAATAAATAAATAAATAAATAAATAAAGAGTTTTATATGTTGGTTGTCTCAGCTGCTGCCATGTATAAGGGCAACCCGGAGCCAGTCTAGCTGCTTTTAGCAGCTTTTTGTCTGGGGACCCCTCCAGTACTTCTGGAAAAATAAAGCTCATTGTATTGTATTGCATTGTAAATGAAGCCCTGAGATGCGTTCCAAGTTGTGAGCAAGTATGCCTTATCGCTGCTCAAGGAGGTCGGTGGGTCCACCTTAAAACGGGTGGGCCAATCTGAGCGCTGCAGAAGTGCAATTTGGAAAATGCCGTTTTGATTCCGAGTTAGAGCTTCACCGTGGTAAGTGCAAAGGGGATGCATTTACAGGCTGTGCGAGCCTTGTGCTCGCTATCCTCCGGCTCGTAATCTTATGAGCCTCTAAATTATTTTTTTCCACCGCTAAACATTAACGAAAACAAAAACAACTGAAAATGAAAAAGCTGTATTAATATCTTGACGATCCTAAATTCTTCCGTTTTTCTTGTGTGTATATGTGTGTGTGTGTTTTTGTGGGTAGCAATTTTATTTCAGTAGCGAAATGTGCAGGTGAACAAAAATAATCGGCAACTAATAACAAATACTCACGCAAGCTATTTTAAAATATTATACTAAGTTCAAAGTTCGTGGTCGGAAATGCAAACCACTCCATGAAGCTTTTGATCTAATATCGAGATATTTTCAGTTCTTCAAATCTCCAACGCACAGGTATGCGCGACACCGTTAGCACGAACACGACGTCGACGCTTTTCGCTTTTTACTCTAAAAGGACGTTTGCAGAAACCATAATTCAGTTGTTTAAATTATCGCCCCAATTAACCCCTCCCCACACTTAAAAAATTAAATAATAGTCTTTCAATTAAAAAAAATGGAAAATAAAATAACCGTCTGTCGCGTGTTTGCGTTATCGGGCTGTGTACACTGTGAACTGCATTCAAACTGACAACTATGTCGCTGCAGTTCGATGCGCGCTACTTCTTTATAGCGCTCTCTTATCTTGTACATCATCGGCGGCGAGTATACAGCGGCGACAAACGGCTCGCTTCATTATGCCGTGCGAATTCCTCGACGAAACAGAAGCGACGGGACGCGCGTGCGTTGGGAATGTAAAGTAGCCGCGTCCGACAACAATGGCAGGAAGTGCCGCATCGCATGCCGAAGTGGCTATATCTCAAATGCGCCTTGTTATGTCGACGGCGCGTCCACTCCTAGTTACTTCTTAAAGAGCGGCTAATCACATGCTCCGAGAAACGTCCGCTCTTTTCGTCGAGAGCAAAAGCTCATTCGTTCTAACGCCATGTTCCACTCCGTGTTCGCTGTGCGGAAAAGAAAAGAGGGGAACTACAAGCGACCGCACTTAGCGAGAACACGCAATGTGTCGCTTTTTCATTCGGCAAGGGGGCCCCCTTGTTAAGGCGCACGCAAATTTGTTCGTGTATCTTTGACCTCTGCGAATGTCGAGTCGGCGGTCGGATAAGCTGCCTAATTGGCTCTGTCTTACTAGCTGCGCTATTCTGCCGAACTTTTTTTTTTTTTCGCGTATTTATAATAGTTTACGTTAAAATAAAACGGAACCAAGAACGAACCTTTTTACGGAGCATGTAGAGTAGCCAGCTTCGGACA